CCTCCCCTCCCACAGTTCTCCCAGTGACGCCTCCCCTGAGCCAGCGTTACCTAACTTTTACACAAACACGCAGTTCCCATAAGCATCAACTTCAAACAGCTCTGGCTTTGTGTCTGATCACATCTTGGTTTTGGGGAGCAGAGGCAAAGAGCTACTACTGAGGGGTTCTGCAGCAACTCTGCAAGGTAATCAACTTGCTGGATTTTTACTTTTTGTTTGTAATGCCTAACTACGGTTACGTAGATGGACCAAAAAAAAAGCCTCCTGGCAAACTATCTTGCTGGAATTTGCAGTAGGAGAAAAGTCTCAATGTAAACTCAAAAATAGATTAAACACCACTTTGGCTTACCTGCTTCCTGCAGGGAAAAAGAGGCAGCTTTTAAGACGATCTAGTGTGAAATATAAAATTACTAGTATTTTTTTTAGTCATGGGTGTCAGTTGTATGTGTTTAAACATGCGTATGCATTCTGATTTAGTTTCAATTCATCACATTAGACAGATTTAGAAAGCAGCAGTCCACCGGGACCATGCTCCAGCTGTTTTGCTCAGCACTGCCACAGGCTGCGTACCTTTCTCGCCGGCCATGCTGCTGCAAAAAGCCCTTAATTCTTTGTAGCTTCTTGTACCTCTTGCAGGTTCCGACTTGCCAAGATGCTTCTGCTTCTTTCCCTGGTCACTGGGCTTGCCCTGGCTGCCTCTGGTGTCATGACAGACCAAGAAACTAATCCAAGCCAAGAGTCATTTCATGACATACAGAAAAAAGTGAACGACCTCTGGCAGAATTTGCTCTATCCGGTAACGCCTGGTAATGAGACTGATGGGATGATTCACGCCACGTGTGAAATGAAGCCCAGCTCCAAAATAGATGCTGACAAGCCACAAGTGACTGGACAAGTCTTATTCAGACAGTGCTACTCATACGGAAGATTAGAAGCCATTTTTCACTTGGATGGGTTTCCGTTGGATAATAACCAATCTGGTAGAGCTATACACATCCACGAGCTTGGGGATCTCAGCAACGGCTGTGATTCTACAGGAGGACACTACAACCCTTTCAGCGTGTATCACCCTCGTCACCCAGGGGATTTCGGCAACTTTTTTCCTAAAGAAGGCAAAATCAGAAAGTACAAACCAAATCTCTTCGCCACTATGTTTGGTCCATATTCCATCATGGGCAGATCCGTTGTGATCCATGAGCAGGAAGATGACATGGGCAAGGGCAACAATAAGGCCAGTTTGGAAAATGGAAATGCTGGGAAACGTCTGGCTTGCTGTGTGATTGGGATATGCAACAAGAACTTGTGGGAAGAGAAACTGTCTGAGGTTACAGACAAGAAGAAGAGAGGGCTCAACAAACGGACATAGAACCAGGTGTAAGTGAAGACCAACCAGCCGGCTACAGCCTGGGCAGCACAGAGTACCTGAGGCTGTGCCACTGGCCACTAAGATACACGGCTAAAGGATTCCCATTTCCATTTGCTTGCTCCTCTAAGAAATACATATCACTTTGTAGAGCCTCCTTTCTGTAAACCCATCAATAAAAACAGCATCGACTCAACATTGTGATGTATTTTCTTGAAGAGGAAAGATTTTCTTTTATGCAGTTTGGGATTTGAATGCATGTAAGCAAGAGTGCTAACGGATAAGGTCGATAGTCTGTAAAGAGTCTGTGCGCTGTAAGGGGCTCTTAAGGGATCGCAAGTTAGATACCAAAGGAAAAAAAAGTTAATATGAGTAAGTAAGAAACTGACTCTCATTAGATGCTATCCTGTACTTAGCTGCAAATCTGGAAGGTAAAAAGATCTCTATGCTTTCAACAGTGTTGGGTGTTGTGTTGCAAGACCTGGATAATGGAGTTCCCCTAAAAATAAGGGAAAGTATGGACATTTCTGTTTTAAACTTTAGATCTGTTACGTTATTCTAATTACATTTTCAGGTTTTATTCTCAAACACGTATAAGCCTCTCAACTATTTTAAATTGTCCATATGGCTGTAGCTAAGTCACGCTGTTTACATCTAAAAGCAGACTGAAAAGAAATATTCCAGTTTACCATCACTTCCCAGCAAAAATTCCCTAAAGCGCCCAGCTTGTGCCTGCTAGTAACTAAACTGTAGACAAAAGTTTTAATGCCGCTTAGGCAATGATGATAAAGTTAGCAGATCAGAGATAAATATTATTTTCAAAGCCAAAAAATACTGAGTGTGTCTCTTCATACAAAATTGTAGGAAGTAAATAGGTCAATTTAGACTGGGAGAAGTGACAGCAAAAAGATTTAAGTCAGATAATTTTCAGACTTAAAACTCTAATAAAGTTTTACTTTTTTAATTTAGCACAAGTCATTGAAAATACTAAAACACTACCTCATGACTATCATTCATCTGATACTGAGAAGAGAAAAGGAAACAAGCAGGTAGAACAAGCTTATCAGGAAATGCTTTTATTAAAGATGACAAAATGTATTAATATAGTTGAACCGTGTAGTGCAGTTAATCCAGGCAGCAACAAAAGAGAGGTTTGCAAATAAATTAAACTGCATAATTTAGAAAGTAAAACTACAAAACAGTAGCTGGTAAACAAAATCCTATCTTTTAGAAATGTAGCAGACTTTCAACTTAATCTCAGCTAAGATTTTGAAATACATTCCTGAGCTCATATGGATTAAAGAAATTCCACTGTCTTTATTATACAAATTCCCATATGCTTAAAAATAGTCTCACTTAGAAAAGAAGCAGCATTCTGAAAGATGCTTCTTAATCTCTCATTTTCACATACTTATTTTACAAACTCAGTGAACATTGTTTCTCAAATAACCGCAACATCGTACTTTCAAATGAAACCCTTCTCACCGACAATGCATGAATCCACTTTTAGGTGAGACAACCTACTTAAAATCAGTTTGCAAGCAGCATCTTCTCCATAGCCCTGCCACAACATTCCCTCCCCAGTTTGCTTCCCCAAAGCCCGACACCAAAAAGGCTTATATGTCTGGATATGATTTCCGCATTTCTAAAGTCCTAGAAAAAGGGAACACAAGTCTAAATCAAACAAAACCGCCACCCCCCGCCACCCCCCAAAACCTCAATAGTGTTGATTCCACAACAAAACACTAATTAATTTACTGGGGGAAAACCCCCCATTGTTCTCATAGCACAACAATATCAATTAAAGCAATATCCAAGGAAGACACTGACAAGACTATTCAATTAGTTATCACAGAGTGCAGCAAAGATGTCTTACTTTTACAAGTCTCCTGGCTTTGAAGTCTTGTGGTCCTGGGAGAAGGCTAAAAACGTAGCTAGAATACACATTCACCACGGCAGAAAGGAGAGGGACAGTACTGCAGCAGTGAGATAGCACTAAAAATGAGGTGTCCACTGATCTAGGTATTTCACTGGAATTTCATGATTGCAAAGATATAAAAATGGCATCTAAGAGTCAGAATGGTGTGAGGATAATTACCAAGATGTCCTAATTGTTGTGTTGTACATCACTATGTTCTCACAGAAAAAAATACTAAAAATAATCACTGAATGAGGCACTAATAAGCTCCTACCTGCTTGAATTCTTGCACTAAACTCTTCATTAATTAATAGCATTAACTTGCTGTTAAGGGACCAGGAGCAAAATGCTAAGTCACACAACTGTGGCTCAGGAAAGACACAGAACAGGGAAACAATTTGACATCCTCAACATTTCTGAGCTCAGCTAAGTGAAATCTTGACCTTCTTATTCGCTTGCCTCAGTTCTGACTGCATTGATATTTAGCTCTGCGCAGGATTAGTCTGTGAAAGATGGAAAAGAATACATCTTGAATAAAATGCTACTTCATGTGACATTCAAGCATTAAAGGAAACAATCCTGCCACATTCTCCTGCAGATTTCAGTTTCTGCAGCTATTTCTCTTCTGACTTGTCAGTACTGTCACATAAATGAGTCAGTAATGCAGTCAGTTACAATTAATGGGAACAGCATAACAATATTTCAAATACTTAAACTCGTCTTGGTTTTTCAGGTGATGAGGAACTTACATGGTGATCAGGATAATGAAAGAAAAACTTTTTACTGCTTCATGTCCCTAATACGCTTGAATACACAGATGGTTTTTGTTCCTACGGGCTGCTCCTTGCTATCAGTGAAATGCTGCAGTGTCAATTACCTTTAAAGAGAAAGGAAACATATTTGAGGAGCACTGTGGGTATGGCTTTATTGCCTGCAGACAGACACTGAAAGGGTTACATGAACGCACCTGCTAGGGAAAACACATGAGAACAGAGACAAGCCACATTTTTCACCTTCCCACCATCATTCCTTATATTTATATGTAATAATTTACATACAGCCTTTCTTCTGCTGAATACAAACTGCTCATGGACTCTGACACCTTGATTATGGCAGCACCTGCTAGCTCATCTTCCATATACAGAAGAGTTTGTCAGTATTGCTAATATAAACTCTGTTTATTCAGTAGCTGACAAGTGGGCTGTAAAAATTTGCAGCTGGCAGTTATTTGTCAAAGAAGAACTCAATCTGGGAGGGATTTTCCTTTTTATTAGTAGTATTTTATTAAATTTGGTTTAATTCTCTCTGATTGGTTTCAAGTTCTAGGAGTGAGAAATGAACATTTACAGACAATTAGGTCCCAAGCCAGCAGAAAAATTGCCTTGACGGCTGCTGGCCCATAGAAGCTCCACAGCTGCAGAGACTATTCCTTATGCTACAAACAGGAGAGGAAGGACGTGCCTCCCCTTCTCCAACAGCTGCTAACTTCTACGTTAAGTATTCCCTTGTTGCTGCGTTCCTAGGAGCAGAGTGGCACAGCTCCAACATCAGGAGCGAGCTAGGGAATGACACAGCAGCCTCCTTTTTTCCCAGTTATTATAGGAATGTTCTCCTGTGACTAAACAGCAACAAGAGAAGAAGTTTAAGAAAGCCGCAACAACGCAAATAAACCTTCTACCACACCACAGACTGGTGAAATGAGGAGGGAAGGAAGAGTTATCCTTAATTCCAAAATTAAAAAAGACACAGATTCCTTTACAAAGGAGGGCACAGATGGAGTATGCTGAAACCTATCACCCGTTACTCAGCCCGAGGGCTGTTCCAGCTCCTGTAAGTTGAGGAATGCAATTCCAGTAACTGAGAGAGCCAAGTAGGTGGACAGCGCATCACTGGTTCTCCTCTTGCTGTTCTCCTTGCTTTGGAACAGCATTGCCACTTCTCACAGAAAGACTTCTGGCTTCTCTGATGATGTTTATTTCAGAGCTTCATTAAATTGGGTTCTCGGTATATATCTGTGAAATAACTCCCTGCATTTTCATGAGACGAGCTGGGAGAGGGAAGGAAAAATTTTGTACAGTTGAGACGATAATAAAGGTTTGTAATGAGAGAACTATACACATGCAGGGATAGTTTTCAGAAACTTCCTATAAGGGAATAGTGATTTTATTCTAAGGCTGTACTTACAGTCACCATATGTAAGGAGAAATAGAATGCAGTCTGAGAAACACGCAAAAGCTTGCAGCCTTAAGATGCTTCTCAATTTAACACTCCAAATTTTTCATCTTGGAAGATACTTCCAACCATTAAAATAGAGTCCAGCACTAGGACTATATATGTTACAGAAGCCTAGTGGTAACATGGTAAATCATTATCATTGGTCTCTTTGCTACACTAATGTAAATTACATCAATCTATGTAGAAACTTCAAACCGTTACAAAAAGCAACATGATTAAAAGTCATCACTAATTCTTTCCCTCAGGCAATTCACGGTTTTGGTACACTGTAGCCAAAGCTAAGAGAAAAACACCTTTATTGGAAAACTATAAACAGTTCAATGTAAAAATCAACCCTACAGCACACTGTTTCACCGATCATATTTGCAGCAACACTGACACTGCACAAGGACTACAGTGAGATGCTAGAGGGCCTGGATTTCATACCTCAAGCCAAACTGTTATCCAAATATTCACAGTTTTCA